CCGAATTAGTGCCGCGGATCCCGAAAATCTCAAAATAGTCTCGAAAATCCCCGAATTAGTCCCGAGAATCCCGATATAGCCCAAAAATCCCGAAGTAGTCCCGAAGATTCTGAAAATATTGAAGAAGTCTCGAAAATCCCAAAATAGTCCAAAAATCCCGAAATAGACTAAAAATCTTGAAGTAGTCCCGAAAATCCCGAAGAAGTCTCGAAAATCTCGAATTAGTCCCAAGGATCCCGAAGATTTTCGTGGAACTGGAAGTTGGAAGATACTTAAATATCTTATTTGCGTCGCATAACAAAAGTATTATTTAATTGAAAAATGACAAATCAAATTGATTTGCTCTACAAATCAAATCAAAAATTTGTATTTCTTATTTGGTTGAAAAATCAAATCACAAATAAATTTTATTTTTTATTTGGTCAACAAACTAAATCATAAAAATAATTTCTTAATTGATAGCGGTTTTTAAATCAATAACATGACCGTGACGTTTACGTTGCTTATATCTCTCTATCTCTCTATCAACAGCAAATTTGATATGTTTCTACGCACTTCTAACACTTATTTTACTTCTTCCAGCGATAAGTGTCCATGTCCAACAGCAACGGAAATTATATGCAAAATAACCCTTTCCCACTGAGAGGAGCAAACATCTACAAAAAATAAACCACCTGTTCTGTTTTGTGGGTTATTTTTTCCCTTAAATAGTGACGGTTATTTTGGGACACTTTCAAAGTGTTGACGGTTATTTTCGACCTCCCTTTCACAGTAAAAGAGGGGCTTCCGCCCTCTTCTCCGGCAACACAGAGAAGAGAAATCTTATTAGTAAGGCTTATGCCAATTTTCCACTAGGCATTGAAATGACAAAAAATTATGCCATGTGGAAATGGACTTAATGTAGGGCTGCCAGACGTCCCGGTTTTCCCGGACATGTCCCGGTTTTAGACTATTTGTCCCGGTGTCCCGGTCCAACCTTAAAATGTCCCGGGTTTCGTTTAAGTTTCCCGTTTTTCGATTTGATTGCACAAATTTTGCATAAAAATGACTACACTGAGAGATAAAACGCGTTGTAATATTAAGAAAAATTTGATTGGTTTGGCAACAGAGATATCTGGCAGCCCTAACTTAATGGCTATTTTTTCACATAATGACACGATAATTTTTTAACGCCCAACTTTGTCATTTAATGCCTCCACATTTTTCCGCAAGGGTTGCAGCATGTCGATTTTTCATTTAACGTAACGTAGCTACGAATTAGTAATTACGAAAATTCGGGTTCTAGAATAACGTTTTTTTTTTTTGGGAGTAAATGCGTGAACAAAAAATTTTCAAAAATCAACACTTACCTAGCTACTTCAAATTTGCATTTTATTATACTAAAATTTAAAAAGCTGCGTACTAAAAAAAATCTGAAAAAGAGTTTCCAATATTGATGAACATTTGTTAAAATTGCGGAACACGTAAAAAGAATCGTCTAAGAACCGGCCAAAAACCGCCGATGCCGATGCCGATTCTTTTGGCCGATACTAGCCGATGCCGATGCCGATTAATCGGTCGGACTCTACTTGTGGTTCAACAATTCAACCAGAAGCTGACATAGATGCGTCCATAGTTACAGTGCCCGACAGCTCCGGATATCTTTGTGAATTTATTTCCATAGCGCGCTCTTACTCTGCTGCTATAATTGCAAGTGCAATAGAATCCAGTGCTTCCTTCAAAATATGTAAAATTAAACAATTTTACCATAAATAAGCACATGATGAATGTTTTTCTAATTGCTTTCCACTTTGTTTTCCTTCATACAGCTGTCTTCGAAAAACAACTAATAGCTAATAGTCTGTTCCAATAGCAGTCCGGCTTACAGGATTTAGTCAGAACTTACAGGAAGTCGTTCCTATTGACATAAAACCTGTAAGTGGGAACACTTTTGAGAGAGTAATTGAGCAACTGTTCCTAGTCAGAAGTTACAGGATTTAGTCCGGAGTTTTTTTCCTGTAAGTGCATGAAAAGTGTCAAACGATCAGCTGATTTACATGTGCAAACAAAAACAGAAAGCGGTGGAAGCAAATAACCTTATATTTGTTAAAAAATGGAAGTAGTTTTGTAGTTTTTGTTTTCCAAAAAAAAAAATATATACCACTACACTCACCCCAATGATCTCTACCGATCCCCATATAAATTTGTTTAATATGGGAATTGAAGGTATTCTGCATTTATGCCAAATTGGGAAATGCATAAAATCCAAAAACACAGGCCCTGAAAATTGCGAAAAGTCCCAGAAATAAAATAAGAAAGAGAAAATAGTCGAATGGTCCGTCTACATACAGCTTTGGCGTTGCGTTGGCGTTGATGTCGCTTCAACAGCTGACTATGAATACATGAATTTAAATGTAACCGTCCAAATAGCCGAAATTTGGCAACGCTAACGCCAACACAAAGCAGAAGATGGCCAACTCTCAACTTTTCGCGTGCGTCGTTCGTCGGCTGTTGCAAATAATTAAAATTATGTGAAATATTTTTCCTTTTTAATCAAATTCGGGCAAAGAAATATCGTTTTTAATACAATTATTGATATGAAATTCTGATTTATCTGTCGCTAGTATGATAATTTAATGGCCAAAGTATTCGCTGCCTGCCAATCGTTCATTGTAGCAAGCACTGGAGTTAAGTGCATTTATTGCTTTTTTCAATGCCAAAAATGGGGTAGTTTTTATCTTTCGAAAATATGGTTTGATCTTTTTTGTATTAAAGTTAATGTAATAAGAAAATGTTACAAAGAAAAATTACGCAATTTTTGGAAGAAAGGTCCCCAATTCAAACTTATTACTTCTACTATCTCGAAACAGCTGGCAATTGAAATTCCGTAAATAAAAAAACAGTTTTTGGTGTTAGCTTAAAACAGCCATTTAATTTATCAAAATTTTTCTGCGCGGTTTCAGCCCAACAAGTAACAATGCATACTCGCAGAACATCTTGCGGTACTACCAAAAATATAAGCCATAATGCTAAGTTTTTATAATGAATTTTCACAGACTAACCGGTCGTCCTACAGCGCAGCAGTGGCCACAATCAATATCGCTTTCAAGGGAGCATTTTCCTTCCCGACTTCCGAAGCAACCTAAGGATTTATGTGCTAACCTGTGTGAATACGCAAACGATCTGTTAAGCGTAAGTATAAAATGAAAAGGTATAGTTTTTGATACTTATGTAGTTGATGATATTTTTTATTTTTTTTAGCTAATGCTTTCTTACGACTTCAGATCCCGCCCCTCAGCGTTGGCTTGTTTAGAGCACGAGTACTTTCAACAAGAGCCTATGTAACATTTGCTGCTGCTACTATTTGTACTGATTTAATATAAGTATACCGTATTTAGTTTGTTAATTTTTCACTAAGCCATTAAATAATTTAAAATTTAACTTAGTAACTAGTAGAAAAATAATAATCTGAATTTTGTATGTACATAAGTAGTTGGAAGTTTACTTCTGATATACCAATGATACGGATAATTACATATTTTTATATGTTTTCATCCCAGCCGGAAATTTGACTACTGAAATAGCTAACTTTTGGTCCACCTTTTACGGCTACCTTATCACTGGCTTCATAGTCAAGCAGGGCTCAACCGAAGAACTATGTGTAATTTTTTTTGTTTCACAAAGAAAAAAGAAAAGCAACTACATATCGTGAGCTTAATTTACAAAGGCCATAACCAACTCTTTTTTTCGAAACTGCGTAAAATACACCTTCAATAAATATTTTAAATTATTAATACCAAAAACAACGGAGTTACATCCCACTTTTTAAAAAGCCTTACCTGATTTAGATATATTAACCGGCCGACAGGAAGAACGCCCGAAAATTCTACCAGAGGGTTAGGCGACTTACGGAAGGTTTCCAGACCGGGGCGAACTCCCGTAAGAACAACAATGGCGACCTAGGGACCGATGTCCAGAATATACTTAAATTGTGGAGGAAACACTTTTACAACCTACTGAATGGCAGCAGCGCTGAAAGTAGTGAAGAAGACGAACCCGAGTCCCCAGTCGATGATGATGGAGTAGCTGTCCCACCGCTTGACTATGACAAGGTACGAATAGCGATTACGCGGCTGAAAAACAACAAAGCTGCTGGAGCTGACGGCCTGCCAGCCGAGCTATTCAAGTACGGCGGCGAGGAGCTAATGAGGTGCATGCATCAGCTCGTATGCAGAATATGGTCAGATGAACGCATGCTCGACGACTGGAATTTAAGTGTGCTCTGCCCAATCCACAGGAAAGGCGACCCCGCCATACGGGCCAACTACCGCGGAACCAGCCTTCTAAGCACAGGTTATAAGGTCTTATCGAGTGTATTGTGCGAAAGACTGAAGCCCACCGTCAATGAACTGATTGGACCTTATCAGTGTGGTTTTAGGCCTGGAAAATCCACCATAGATCAGGTATTCACAATATGCTAAATCTTGAAAGACCCGCGAGAATAGCATCAACACACACCAACTATTTGTCGATTTCAAAGCCGCTTTCGACACCACGAAAAGAAGTTGCCTTTATGCCACGATGTCTGAATTTGGTATCCCCGCGAAAATAATACGGCTGCGTAAAATGACGTTGAGCAATACCGCCAGCTCCGTCAGAATAGGGAAGGACCTCTCCGAACCGTTTGATACCAAACGAGGTTTCAGACAAGGGGACTCCCTTTCGTGTGATTTCTTTAATCTGATGTTGGAGAAGATAATAAGAGATGCAGAACTGAACCGCTCAGGCATAATACTTTACAAGAGCGTACAACTGCTGGCGTATGCCGACGACATCGATATTATCGGTAAAAACAAGAACGTCTGTTCTGCCTTCTCGGGATTGGATAGAGAAGCAAAGCGAATGGGTCTGGTGGTGAACGAGGACAAAACGAAGTATCTCCTGTCATCACACAAACAGTCAGAGCATACGCGTCTTGTCACCCACATCACTGTTGACAGTTACAAGTTTGAAAAAGTAGACGACTTCGTTTATTTGGGAACCAGGATTAACACCGATAATAATGTCAGCTTTGAAATCCAACGGAGAATCACTCTTGCCAACAAGTGCTACTTTGGGCTGAGTAGGCAATTGAGAAGTAAAGTCCTCTCTCGTCGTACAAAGACCACACTCTATAAGTCAATCATCATGCCTGTGCTGGTGTATGGCGCCGAGGCATGAACAATGAAAGCATCTGATGAGGCGGCTCTTGGAGTTTTCGAGAGAAAGATTCTGCGAAAGATTTACGGACCTTTACGCGTTGGTGATGGCGAATATCGCAGACGATTTAACGATGAGCTATATGAGCTTTACAACGATATAGACATAGTGCAGCGAATTAAAATTCAGCGGCTCCGCTGGCTTGGCCATGTCGTTCGGATGGACAGAAACGCTCCAGCTCTGAAAATATTCAACGCGGGCCGCGATGCTGGTAACAGAAGAAGAGGAAGGCCTCCTCTGCGTTGGAAAGACAAGGTAGAGAAGGACTTGGCTTCACTAGGCATTTCCAATTGGCGTCAGTTAGCACAGAAGAGATATGACTGGCGTGCTGTTTTGGACTCGGCCAAAATCGCTTGGGCGGTTACAGCGCCAATAAAGAAGAAGAAGAGAACCGATTTCAAAACAAATATTTTTAAAGCAAAAAACAAAACTTCAATTCTCATATAAAAATTTAGGAGTGCTACTAATTTCTTCATGATCCAATGATGGGATCTAAATCAAATTAGTATGGGACCACATCTGGGGTACCACTTTTCCTTTTTTGACGTCTGTTAAAAAGGAGGAGGTTACCAATTCGTCGAAATATTTTATTTTTATGTATGTTACCGCATAACTTTGGACCACGTGAACCGATTTCTATAATCCTTTCTTGAAAGGAAAGGTGGTACCTCAGACCTACGTGATTTAGATCCGATCATTATATTAAGAATACATTAACGGTACTCTTAATTTTTATATATAAGGATTGAAGTCGGTTTCGTTTTTTGTTTAATAAATTGCTTGTTTTTATAATGTTTTTCGCTTCTATGAATTAAGATCAGTGAGCGGACTTCTACCACATTGTGGTAGATCTGCCACTTTTTTGAGCATCTACCACATCTCCCACACAAGGTCTGAAATCTACCACATATTCGCATTTTTGAGTAGTTTTATTTTTGCTCGACATAGTTTTCTTAAGTTTAAGAGCAAAAATTGTCCAACACTAAACACTAACAACAGGCAGAATGGGATTATAAAATAAACTGTAAAATATAAAATTTTCTAATATTCCATTTTTCGACTGAAAACGTGGTTTTATTGTGTTAAATTGTAAAATATATGATTTATAAAAATAATTAATAGCAAGATATTAAAAAAACGGCGATTTTTGTGAAAGTATTAGCAGATTTCAGTGCATCTTAAGATTCTAAAGCGGTGTTTACTTTTACTTGAGAATTGTCAAAATAGGAAAATCCCAAGTAGCGGTTTCTGGAATGTGCCACATTTGTTCGCTACATCGTGATGTGATAGAAAGAAAAGCTGACACTACTCCGCAAGGTTGCAGAAATCTTCCAAAATATGTTCGAAAAATATCTTGATATAGAAGGAACTGCTTTACACTGTCAAGGAAAAAAATGCGTGTGTAACACCGTACACATGATAGAAGTGAAACTTCTTAAAAAGGCGTAAGTACCAGGTACCTAGTCACAAAATTGGATGTGTAAACATTTGTTTACGGTACGGCAAACCATTAGTCGATTGAGTTACATACATAGGTTTGGTTATAAATCAAACAATAATTTCATTTCATCTTATTAATAATCTGATATACAAAAAAATACGCAAACGTCAAGCTGTGAAGCTGTGTTTTTCTGTGATCTGTTTAAATTTTGTGTTTTATAAAGCTGTTTACGCTTATTAACGCAAAAAATTAAAAAAAGTGTTAATAAACTTCTGATTTAACTTGATATTCTTAATTGCATGTGCCGAGTATTTTGTTTCATATAATATATTGTTGTTGTACAATTGTTTTTGTTTGTGCACATTGATTTTGCTCTTTTTGTCTTTTTGTCATTTCTGCTGTTTCATCTTTGTCACAGCTGTTTGCGTTGTGTTTATTATTATCAAATATACAGTGCATTTAAAACTATTCGCTACATAGCTTTCCAACTGATATTTACCAGCTGATTGGTTCACTGATTAATACATCGTTTTCAAAATTGTTTTTGCTTTTTTGCTTCTAAAACCTAAAAATAAATATAATTTTAAACATGTCGTGTATTTACACCAATTGCAACGTTAAGAGCGACTCCTATGTGTCATGCTGGCTCTGCGATGGGATTGCCCATATAAAATGTGCTGGTTTGAAAGGTAGAGTATTAGACGCTATTAACGAGGGTAAGGGTCTTCGTTGGTCTTGTCAAAAATGTAGATCAACCGAAGTTGATTTATTTAAATTCTTTAGGCAGTCCAGAAATGGTTTTTCTGAGATCGGGAAGGATCTGTCGGTGCTTGTTGAGAAATTTAAGCATTACGAAAAACTGTTTAGGTCTTTCACTTGTCTCGACAACCCTCCGCACTCTGAGGATAGCCGAGAAAATAAAGGTGGGCGTGTTATTAGCCGACAGCCACGGATTCTAGTAAAAAAAATCCTCCATCCCAGTCCTTGGAACTTATTAATCTATCTTCTCCATGCCTTCAGGCATTGGCGCCTCCGATATCTAAAGCCATATCCACTAGGTCTACTTCTAAAAATAGTCATACCGTTGATTTAACAGTGTGACCGAAACATCTCAAGCTGCACTGTCTAACTTAGTTCCTCCTAATAATTCGGAGCCCCGCACATCAGACATCATTACCAAAAGGTTGGTTGTAATTCCTCCGAGAAGATCAATCTTTGTCTCTAGATTTGCTAAAGATACTACTTCGGATGATATAAAGTCATACATATCGACTAAAATTAGAACTAAAGATTTATTTATTCGTAAATTTAATTTTAAATACGATCGCGATATTTCATCTTTTAAAATTGATGTAGCTTCCGAAGATTTTGATTCACTACTAAATAGTTCATTTTGGCCGACCGGAGCGTTTGTTCGCGAGTTTGAGTATAAACCTAATAAAAGTAATAATAACGTAGCTAAAATTTCTAATCTTAATTCGGATTCAAAAAACTAACTCGCAAGTCTAGTTAAAGTATTTACTATCAAAACGTTAGAGGTTTGAATACCAAATTAACTGACTTATATTTAAAAGGTTTTGACTGCAATTATAATATTATTTCCTTGACCGAAACATGGCTCAAACCTCATATTTTTAATTCCGAAATTCTTCCAAATGAATATCAAATATACAGGAGCGACCGCGAGGGCAGAATCGGCGGTGGTGTTGTTTTTGCGGTACATTCATCGATACCATCCGAGGAAGTTAGTCTTCCTGTCATTGTATATACCGAATTTAAATGTACCTATA